CCAAGAGGTCGAGAACCAGCTGAGGGTCACCGCTCTCGTACTCCGTCTGCGCCTGGATTGCGATCTCCCGGTCCTTATTGTTCTCAATGTCTTTCATGACCGCCGATGACGGCTGACCATTGCTCGCGTCCGATGTCAGTATCGACTCAATTGAATCCATGGCTCAACACTTGTCAACCGATCGCACGCTAATTGTCTTTGATTTGTCTGATGATTGGACACACCGTTTGATTCACGAGATATTCGTTTGGATGTAGTGTTTGGTGACAAATATTGTCTTTGATTTTGTGGTCAATTCAGTGACGAAACGATTTGCAAATGAATTGTGATTTTAATTTTGAACTCATTTTCATGTTTCACATCAAATCTATACAAAACACTCGTCCATATAAGACGTCCACAAATACTCAATGCCATCCGAAATGCCAATTAATTTAATTAATTAAATAACTTAAAATTAACTCCTAGCACATTTAACTCTTAAAAACACCCTGGTCTACTCTCAATTACTCAATAATTTTAATTAATAATAGTTATAATAATTATAATTAAATTAAACCAAAGGCCTGTTATGAGCAAAAAACGTAACGTAATCTATGGACGAGTTATTGAATTATTTACTGAAAAACGTGTTCACCGTTTGTGACAGCATTTGGTAATTGATTGCAAACCACAACACGTTTTAGTGATAATCCATTGAAATAATCAATTGTCTCATCAGTGGTATCATCATCGGTGGTAAGCCATGCGTATAGAGCGCTGCTATTTCTGTTCATCACCGGTATATCCCGGACACGGCATCCAATTTGTACGCAACGACTGCAAGGTATGGCCAATCACTGCATACAATCGACTCTCGCTATGATATTACGTGCAGACACTGGCGTAAAACCATTGTCTCCATTGCATGAATAAGTGGTTTATTCCTCAGGGTATCAATTGGTGTCATTGTGTGCGCGCCATAGTGAGAGTTATTGGCACTTTAGTTGATCCATAGAGTTATTATCACTTTAGTTGATCCATAGAGTTATTATCACTTTAGTTGATCCATAGAGTTATTATCACTTTAGTTGATCCATAGAGTTATTATCACTTTAGTTGATCCATAACTATTGTACTAATGGTGTCATTGTATTTGTATGTATGGATCAGATCTTCAGGTTCTGTCAGTCGAAGTGTCACAAGAACTTCAAACACAAGTGTAATCCTCGGCGCAAGAGATGGACGAAAGCCTTCCGCAAAGCCAACAACAAAGAGCTTAAAGTGGATCCGAGTTTCGAGTTCGAGAAGCGGAGGAATATTCCCGTGAAATATGACCGCAAACTCTGGACGGAAACCATCGAAGCCATGAAACGCGTGGATATGATTCGCCAGAAACGCGAATCACATTTCCTGATGACTCGGCTCCGGAAGGGAACGGTATTCGAGAGGGAAAGGGATCNTTCCCGTGAAATACGACCGCAAACTCTGGACGGAAACCATCGAAGCCATGAAACGCGTGGATATGATTCGCCAGAAACGCGAATCACATTTCCTGATGACTCGGCTCCGGAAGGGAACGGTATTCGAGAGGGAAAGGGATCGCAAGGAAGTGAAGAGAGATATGTCGCTCATTAAGTCACCCGCGGCTGGACTTAAGAGAGAGAAGAGTAAAGGAAAGGTTGTTGTCGTGAGGGATGAGGAGGAGGAGGACTCGGATGAAGAGATGGTCGCAGAGAGCAGTGAATCGGAAGCAGAAATGATTGAGAATTAGTAGTGAAACGGATGTATAGATTATTGTATTTTGTCATTCATTTCAATAAAAATGAATTCATTATCAAAACAATTTGGGAAACTTTTTTGTACTGTATATACCGTAAGTTTAAACTTAGTTTTAATAATTTCTAATAATCTGAATACAAGTATTCACCCTGGCAAACTTAACAACTTATTTGTTACCATATTTGAGAAATAATATCTTAAGACATATTCTGGACAATAAATATGATCTAAAAAATGCACATTTATTGTAAATATTTGCATTGAAATACAATCACATGTAATACAATTGTAAAATACAGTAAACACACGCTTTAATCATAAAGTGATTCAAATGATCGCAAACACAATACTATTACCGTTAGAATAGACTCCAAGGCTACAGGAATTGTTGGAAACGTGATCCCTGTGCTAATCACTAACTAATCATATGT